TACAAGGCAGGTGGCGCATCCCGAGTGCGCAAGAGCTCGGTAGCCGCCTGGCCTTCGGGAGCAATCCCTGCGCCTCGTCCAGTGTCGATGCAGTGCTCCGCCCGATTTGCGCATTTTTGGGCCGAACGAATCGGGGGGATAGGGAAAGGTGGGGTTACGAAATTTGCTGCATGCAGCTGGTTTCGGCCCCGCCGCCGGGCCCATTCCTCGATACATGGGCGGCTCCTGGCGCCAGGAGGCGCCGGGAAGATCAGCCGCGGGAGCTGATTCTCAGACGCCCCCTTTGCTATCCGCCCCCTTTCGCCCGGCCCGATTTTGACGAACCAACAACACGCACCCATCCCCATAGGGGGATCGGAGAGGGCTATGGGTGCGTGTTGTCGGATGGGGGTCTCCGCTCGAACGGGAGCGTTCCCCAGGGTCCGACAACCCGCACCCATACCCATAGCCAGCCCTCCTCCCAACGACCTCCCTATGGGTATGGGTGTGTGTGTGTGTTGTTCGCCCGGCCCGATTTGCGCACTCGTGCGGCCCAGGCTGGGCCCACTCCCTTGGGAGCGGGCGTCGGGCAGCACGCCGACGGGGCACTCGCCCGCTGTGGCACCGTGGCGCCTCGGCCGCCGCAGGCCGGCGAGCGGGAGCAGGCCTGAGCCGCGGTGGTAATTCGAGAGGGAGGGGGAGGATCACGAGGAGGAGGAGGAGGACCCAAACAAGAAGGAACGTCAACGGTACGGCGACGGGCGGCCTACACGACACGGAGGAACGGATCCGACACGCCAAAAAGGCGGCAAAACTCGAATCCGACCCGCGCCGAGCAGGGCTTACGAGCCCGAAGACGACTGCCAAAACTTGGCCTGCAAACGGGCCACGAGCGCATCCATTCGAGGATTCCGAATGATGGCAGCAGTGACGGAGGAGGAGGAGGAGACGTCCGCCCACCCAGCCGTCCCACCCACCAACCGCCGAATGAGGTCGGACTCGAGAGGGGTCGGCGCCTGGAGGGTCTCCTCACGCCGACGTGAGTGCGGGTGAAGCCCAGCCTCCAGGCGCCGTCGATCATACGCCCGCTGGGGCGTCAAGGCAGGGCGACAAGTCTTGAAGAGGGCGCCACTCGACCTCTCCTCTGCATAGGCCCCGCATTTACAGCAAAACACTAGGACCTGATCGCGTGCTGTCCAGCACGCCCTCAGGGCGTGGCCGCCCACCCCTTCACACTCACGCAACTTTACAAGGAGCGGAGGGGGGCCTGGGCACTGATTGAGGGGGCGCTCGTCCTGCTCAGGGCAAGCCCCAAGGCACCGAGCACAACGCAACTTCCAACTCCCCACACGACACCACTCGTGCCACGACACAACACGCGTTATGCTCGGCACCTTGATCTTCTTAAAGGATGGGAGCGGGAAAGCAGGAAGGACCGCCGCCGCCACACGAATGGCGGCGCGGAGGCGTTTGACCACAAGCCCATGCAACTCCGAGGTGGCGGGAGGGGCACGGGGGTGGAGGGAAAGGGCATCCTTGGCTAACAAATCGGCCATCTGGTTGCCACGCGCGATCCTTTCCTCATCAGGTGGGAGCGCGGAGATGACATCTTCAGAGCGATGGGCACGGGTATGACTAACGTGCCCGATGTGTGTGTGTCCTGGATGCTGGAGCGCACCACGGCGCAGACCAGCAAAAACTTGGGATCCGTTAAGCTGGGCGGGGGCAGGCTTTTGAGTCAAGCGCACAGCGCCCAAACAATCGGAAAACGGCCTCGTGGTCCCTGGGCCCCGTTGGAAGATGGAAAGCATAGCTAGGGCAAGGTGTTCGGCGGACGGCGCCGTCTGGGGTAAGGACTCCCACACCACACCCTGCATCCTACATCGGACTTCGCACTGCTCAGAATTCTCCAGAAAGACAGCGGCATAAGCCGCTCGATTGAGACGGGCGAATTCAGTTCGAGTTGCACTGCCGTCAACACAAACATCGCATCCCGCGCTGAGCTCCTGGAAGGTCTCCTGGGACACAGGGTTGCCCTGGGCATCCTGGAAGACAGGGAACAACTCAGAGGAGGGAGGAGGGAACTCGTCGGGGCGAGGTTGGAACACCAGGAGCCTGGACCACAGGAGATCTCCGGGCTCCTCGCGCGCATCAGCTGCAATCTCTGCCGACGTCGCCTCTTCCCTAGCGGCGGCCACAGCAGGGCAGCACCAGAGACGATGATGAATTGAATCTGGCTGGGAGCACAGGGGGCATAGACCTGTTGATTCAAAGCCATGCTGCACAAGGCGGTCCTCGGTCCACATGCCCCCAGCAAAGACAGAGGCTACAACATGCTTTTGCAGCGCCGAGAATTTCTTAGAACGGACAGCTTGGACAATCAAATCTGCAGAAACCTCCTGCCCCTGCCCCTGCGTTAGAGTGGCAGCAAAGCTACGGCCATGATGGCGAAGAATACTAGCATGCAACTGCTTGGCAAGCAAGGCAGGAGAGGTGAAAAACAAATCATGCTCTATCTGGTTGTCATCGAAGAAGGTCTTAAAGTTGGTGAACTTCCATCCTAGGCGATGCAAACACAACATGGCACGGTGGATGGGGCCAGCACTCTTATTCCACTGCGACTGCTGCAAGACTGGATACTTCACGGCTACAGCATCCCACGTCTTCTGCAAGAACCTCCACGAGAGCACAACACGATCAGGATGCGCAATTGAGTTCCATACTGCCTTGGAATATTGAATGACGGGCGCCACTGCTACCTTCCACGCTGGGTCATCATACAGGAGCATACGAGCGGGTAGCGAGCCTCCTCGGAACGGGACGAGGGCACGTCGTAAAACCAACAACTCTTTCTCCGTCATGCCAGTGACGAGGGAACCGTACGTAGTCGCAGGGCGCACTCCAGATATATATATTTTGTGAAGTCTGGCCTTGCCCACAGAGAGCCGTCGTCGTAGCGAACGCAGGAAGCCAACACGTCTCTTCATAGCTCGAAACCGTTTCTTCATCCGACACGTAGCGCCAGGCGCAGCACGAGGACGAGCAGGAGCAAAGTCAGCACCGAGCGCAGTGGCAGAGGTCGTAGCAGCCGCTGAGCGAGAACCGATACGAGCAAGCCGTCGATCGAGGTCACGAACGACATCATGGGAAGACCCGAAGACCACCGCCTTGTCGTGGGCGAGGCCAACCTGGAGCTCCTCCCTATAAACGGTGACGAGGTCCTGGGCTGCCTCCACGAGGGCTGGTACGAGGTCTTCTCGGGGGCCCGTCATGGAAACACAGTCGTCATCAACGTACACGCCGAGGTCCAAGCGGGGGTGCCGCGCCACGAAACCATCTAGGGCCCCGAGGAGGTAGATCTGCACGAAGGCGTCATTGAACACGTCGCCAGCTGGCAACCCAGAGCGGGCAAACTGCACAAGAGGACAGTGATGGGCTCCCAGTCGAACCAGGCGGGGCCCCCTCCAGAAGTTGAACAGGACCTTGACTAGGGGCCGCGGGAGCCCGCACGCCAGCGCACGATCACGCAGGAGCTCCAAGTTAAACGACTCATAGAACTTGAGGCCATCCCACAGAAACCCCGCCGTCTCTTGGTCGACAGCCTGGCCACGTTCAGCGCGGACCGCCGCAAGCCACACTGCCTCCTCAGCTCCCCTGCCTTTTCCAAAGGACCAGTACTTGCGGGAGGACGATTCCAGGAAGGGCTCCACAAGAGGGCGGCGTGCCTTTTCCCACACTCGCACAAAGGACGCGACGAGCAAAATTGGGCGGTAGCCGCCTTGCGGCTTCTCAAGCAGTGGAAAGAGGAGCCAGAGGAGCTGGGCAGGAAACAGGCCGAGGCGCTCCGAGCACGTGAAAATAATACTGAGCTGCACGAGCGCTGTGTCGCTGAGCATCTCGACATGCCGTGGGTGAAAGCCGTCTAGGCTTTGGGCCGTGGATTCCGAGAAGGTCCGAGCCGCCGCACGCAACTGCACACACGTGAGAGCGTCCAGAGCCTCGCGATCGGGAATCCACGCCTCAGGAGGCTCCACCTCCGCATGCCAAAAACCTCCGAGCTTCACGGTCTCCTCCTGTACTAACTGACACGGCTCAGACGTAAACGACCCAGGGACCGAGGAGGAGACCGTGGGCTCCCACAGCTTCTTGATGCGGGTCAGGCGATGCATGCGCCTGGCCGAGCCGCTGAGCGCCAAGATGTGCCACTCCTTCCAGGAGCGGTCTCTGGCTTTGGAGTGCTCCGCCTGGACTTCATCACATTCCGTGGCGAGCTCCTCCGCGAGCGCAGCAGCAGTATCCCACCACTCGCTGTCCCCAGGCAAATGCGGAGACCATTGAGTGAGCAGGAGGCGTACTGACGCCAGCGAGCGGTCCAGGCGGGCGCACAAGCCCTCCCCCGCGTGCGGGACTCGCACCGCCAGGAGATGGTGAGCGCCTTCACCCGAGACCCAATCAACATCATCACGACGCGTGAGAGACAAAAATTCACTGAGCATACCGCACATCCATTGCCAACAGTTAGCCACCAGCGTGCCATCATCGGGCTCCTGTCGGCGATGGACGATCGGCTCCCAGACTGACTGCACGCGAGCTCCTCGCCACCCCGCACGGGTGGTGGGGAGATCGCAAACGTCAAGTAGCTCCTGCTCGGCAGCATTGGCAAAGAGAGACCACACTTCATTCATGAGAGCCCAGGCCTCCTGAGAGGAGCCATGCTCAGACAAAAACTGCAGCTTGGGCAGGAGGCGCTCTGACAACGCCCACGGGGGGGGGGGACGAGGACAGCCGATCGGGAGGTGGGTGGGGATTCGACTGTGACGCCGAAAGACCAACTGACGGACCTGAAGTGCATTAGCACGCAGCTCAAGCAAAACAGGACGGTGCGGTCTAACATGCCACGCGCTGTCCACAGAGATGCTGGCAGCCAGGGTAGACAGAGCATGCCCTACAACGAAGAAGTCAATCGTGGACGTAGACGAACTGGTACGGCAGGTGATTGCAGCAGGCGCCATGATGACGGCCTTGACCTTCTGCACAAACCCCGTGGCCTCGACGGCGGCAGGTGAATTGTTCCAATCTGCCGCAATGACCGTGAGCGGAGGCTGGATGATCTTGGCGCCGATCGCGCTGAGTATGGACAGATTCTTCTCACGCATGCCGTCATTGACGTGGAAATAAGCACACACGATGTTGAACGAGAAACCAGGTAGGTCAATGGTAACCTGTATGGCACGATGTGGCACAATAGCCTTGCACGCTGGGTCAGTCCATCGCAAGCCAAACCCGTCACGAACAAAAACTCCAACCCCAGCCGAGCACCTCTGCGTCGCGGGGTTGAAGGACGACTCACTGATGAGGAATCGCCAGCCCAGGGCGCGCACAGCGGCCAGGGACTGGGGCGCTGTGAGCTCGGACAAGCCAAGCTCCTGGGCGCACACGATGACACTGGTAGTCGTGGTGAGCCGCTCACGTAGCGTGGACCACCCAGAGCCATTGAAAGTCTCGATGAACTGTGTCGCCGTCGATGTCGGCGGCAACTTCTTCCTGCAAATAGGGGGTAGTGGTAGCCTCATACACGACAACGGCAGGCCACAGACCCGCGGGTGTACTGCACCATGGTGAGTATCACCCCCGCCGCTGCTTCTTGGTGACGAGGCCGAGGGACTTGAACAACTCCTGGAGCTCCCGTTTGTCACCAGCAAACTTGGTAGTGGAGATGACCTGGGAGATGCCTTCCTCGTCGACGTCAAGGTACACATCATCATCCTCAGGGACGGGAACCGATTCACCACAGTCGGTGCCCTCATCCCCGACGGTTGGGCCAGCGGAGGCTGCCTGGGCGGCAGCAGCAGCACGCACAGCCTCCTTGAACTTGTCAAAGACAGGCGACTCCACCATGGCCTTGAGGTCGGCGTCGGCCTCCAGCACGGTGGTCGGGAGGTCGGGCAGCACGAAGGAGGTAGCATCGCTCCCTTCAGGGCGCAGGTCCTTGGGGCAAGACTCGCGCAGCTCCTCCTGGAGGGAAGCCACCAGGTCCTTGGCGGCCAGCACCTTGGCCCTGAGCTCACGGAGGTGCTCCTCGGCGGCCTCGACGACCTTGACCTGCGCACTGACGTCGGACTCGAGCTTCTGATGGCGCTTGATCGCATCCTGCAGCTTGTGCCCGAGGGTGGTGTGGCGTGCAAGTTGTGGCTTGGCATCATTCCGAGCCTTGCGCGCCGCGGCCAGAGACTGCTCGGCACTGACACGGCTGGGGACGTCAGCGCCCAAGCCAGACTTGGCGAACTGGGCAACGATACCTTCCCAGCGCTGTACCTCAAGATCGAGCGGATCGGGCGGAGGCGCAGGCTCGGGAGTGGGCACGGCCTTGGACTTCTGGAGGGCGGCGTACTTGCGCTTGAGCTCGGCGAGCTCACGGGCGATGCCACCATCCACACTGCCTGGCGGGCCTGCCGCCCACGCACTCCCAGCACGGCGGCGACCACCTGCAGCCCCAGGAGCATGAGACGGCCCACCGGCTTCCATCTGCTTGGCCGCCTTGCGCGCCTTGTCTGCGACAGACTGCGGGGCAGGGCGGCCGCATCGGCACCGAATGCGCGATGCATAGTTGGCGGACGCGCCGCAGGACGGGCAGCCCCAGAAGGGGCGGGTCGGTCCTGGCAGCACATCATGAGCGGGACTGGCCATCCACCTGTGCGGGGGTGGATGGGAGCGAAAGAAAAGGCTCGCAGGCGCGCTGCCGCTCCGAAGAATGGCACCTGCAAGGCGCGCGAGAAACCTCGCGAGCCCGAAGCGGCTAGGAGGAGGAGGAGGAGGAGGAGGAGGAGGAGGAGGAGGAGGAGGAGGAGGAGGAGGGGGGGGGTAGGAGGGGGAGGAGGAGGAGGAGGGAGGAGGAGAAGGAGAGGAGGAGGAAGGAGGAGGGATGAGGCGGAGGAGGAGGAGGAGGCGGAGGAGGAGGGGGCACGGGAACGGCAGGCGGACGAGCAGGAGCAGAGGCTGGTGGAGGAGCAGGAGTGTCCTCTTCCCCCCCCTCCCCCCTCCGGAAGACCTGGGGAGCCGGAGGACGGGAACGCGGACCTCGGGAGTGTCGGGTTCCGACGTCCCCCACCCCCGGACAAGACTGTCTCCCCTCGGTCGCGTCGTCGTCCTCCTGCTCCACCTTTCTGCTTCTGCATCCCTCTCATGCTTCTCCTCCTCCTGCTCCCTGGCCTCCCTCGTCCCTCCTCCGCGGAGGTCCCGCGTGCGCACTCCTCCATTCAGCGTCACCATTATCATCACCATTATCGTCACCATCCTCATCATCATCATCATCCTCATCATCATCATCATCATCATCATCATCATCATCATCATCATCACCACCACCACCACCACCACCACCACCATCATCATCATCACCACCATCATCATCATCATCATCAGCATCAGCATCAGCATCATCCTCAGCATCAGCAGCAGCATCACCACCGTCATCATCACCATCATCATCATCATCATCATCATCATCACCATCACCATCACAATCACCATCATCATCATCATCAGCATCATCATCATCATCATCATCATCACCATTGTCATCGTCATCCTCATCCTCATCCTCATCGTCCGTAGCCATTTTGGCTCAAGTTCGGAGCGTGCGCCCCTGGCGCCGCGAGCTTGGACGCCGCCGAGGGGCGGCTCGAGCGTCCCTTCTGAGGTGCGGCCTCTGCTGTCCTGTGCGGTTCGCTCCCCGAGATCGACGCGATCCCGAACAGCCACGCCGCTCGCCCAAGAGGAGCAGATTACTCCAGATTTGGTAATAAAAGGGAGGGGGTCTCATTTCGGGGGGGGTCTCTTCCAGGCTATCTTGGAGGGCCTGGGGGGGGTCTGGGGACTATGTTTTGGAGGGTTCTCCCACGGGGGGGGTCTAAAACTTCTCGTCTGGGAGGGTTGAGACCCCCTCCCTTTTATTACGAAATCTGGAGTACTCCTGCCACCCTCACGATTCAGATGGCACTCATCCTCGAGGGGATGGACGAGGTCCGCGAGATCTCGGAAGAACCAGAGCAACACGCTGCATGCTCCGAGTGAAATGTTCCAGGCGCCTCAGAATCAGTGCTTTGAGTTGGGCTTGGTGATCAAAGCAAGTCAGGCGGACCGACTAGCACGGAAACACAAAAGTCAGGACAATGTTCAACGACTTGCTGAGATGAGAAACAATTGAAACGGCAGCAGCTTCTGCACTTGCGATAACTTTGGAGTCTTTCCTATGTTTAAGAAGCAGAGAGGTCCTCGCTTTTGGTCCCAGGGGTGCTTTGCCGAAAGACAATCATTTGAACTCGATCCTGGTTGGTTACGAGGATGAGTTCAGTAAGAGGATCCTTGCACAGGCAGGGGCAGCAATCTCATCTTCGCGCGCCTCGGCGGCGGTCCAACAAATGATGAAGGTTACCCCCCAGAGCTTTTGCCAAGCAGTTGATCATGGCGTCCCCTTTGAAAAAGGCGCGCAGGAGACCCTCCGCCGTTTTCGGGGGTATGCGTCCCGACGGCTTCAACTTCGTTGCCCCGCGTGGTCCACTTGCGCTCCGTCTGAAACCTCCTCGGGCGAGAAGCAGTGCGCTGCGATCGGCCCTTCTTCGCAATGCTCTTGATTGCCTCATGGAGATGGATCGTCCTTGGGCCAGTCGTGCGAGCCCCCAGAATGGTTCTGGATTCGCAGAGCGACGCCACAGGAGATGCTCATGACCCGTTTCACATGGTGAAGCTAAGGATCGATTCCTACAATACGAAGGTTGTCTCGTTCGCTCGCAATTTCCTGGCCCTCGGGAGGCAGGGTCAGCAGCCGCAGTCTATTGCCGACCACGTGTGCAGCGAGCTGCGTCTTCAGCATGCCGACCATGCGTGACTCGCTGGCTGAAGGGACAGGGAAGGGGGGTGCAGTCACTCAGGCGGTCGCCTCTCTTCTGCGCAAAGGTGAATTCAGTGAGGAACAGGGTCAGCTGTATGAGATCAGCCACTCCTCGTTCCTTCCGTTCTTGTCATCAAACAATCATGTCGTCATCACCATCACCGCTGTCAGCGCCATCATCGCAACCACACCATCATCATGTTCACCATCAGCAACATCATCATCATCATCATCATCATACCCGTCGTTATATTCATCAGCGCTGTCGTTGTCATCGCCTCCGCCATCGTCATCGTCATTGCCATCGTCGTCGTTGTTATCATCGTTAGCATCATCAGCATGGGAAGCATTGTCGCCGTCGTAGTTTAGTCGTTGTCGTCTTCCTCGTTTTTCACTTTCTCGTCGCATCCGTCATTAGTCATCGCCATCATCACCACCGAACTTCGCATCATCATCAGCAGCGTCCTTGCCAACGCCATCGTCATGAACATCATCACCATCAGCACCTTCATCATCATTACCATCGCCACCACCACCACCATCGTCATCGCCTTCATTGCCCTCATCGTCGTCATCGCCAGCAACATCGCTAACGTATTCATGATCCCCAGCGTTCACGACATCACTATCACCATTAGCGCCATCAGCATACCAATCACCACCACTATCGGTGACATCGTCGTGCACGTTGGCATCGTGGTTTTTACCCTATTCTCCATCAGCCCCTCGGCGTCATAGGCACCATCACCAGTAGCGCCTTGATCGACATCATAAACGTATTCGTCATTTTCCTCAGCTTTCTCAGACCCTTCATCTTCATCAACATCGCCGCCAGCATTGCCGTGCACATCGCTTCTCCATCACATCATGATCCTAATCGTCGCTGGTATCATCATCGTCAGCGTCATCGTCAGCATCGCCATCACCCCCTGTCGTCTGCAACATTATCGCCATCATCGGCACCATCCTGTTCATCCGAATTGTCGCCCACCGCATCTTACGAAGCACCGACACGTGAAAAATCGTCATGCCCACCCTTGTCACTATCGACACGTCAACTCGCTCGTCCGTGTCAGCATCGCCGCCGTCCTCATCTGCCCAATTGTTGTTGTAAGCGCGATCACTACCATACTCAGCACCAGCATCAGCACAATCGACAACGTAATCCACATCGCAACCGTCATCGTCACCATCCTCATTCTGTCCCTCCCATCCTCAACTGCATCGCCGTGTTCATCGTCATCATGACCATCAGCAGCAGCAGCATCAGCATATGTACCGGCGTCGTCATCGCCATCGCAATAGTCATCATGATCCTGGTCATCTTCGCCGCCAGCGCCGCCGTCATCATCAGCAGCAGTATCCCAAGCAGCCTTCACATCGTAATCTTCATCGCCCCCAGCATCATCCCAATCATTATTCGTGTCGTCGCCACCGTCGTGGTCACCATTGCCATCACCAGCGCCAGCATCTCCATTCTCATCGTCGTCGTGACCGTTGTCATCAACACCGTCATCATCATACTCCTCGCCGCCATCGCCCTCGTTAATCCTATCGGCGTCGGCAGCACCATCATAATCATCATCACCAGCAACATCAGAAGCAGCATCATCATCATCTTCATCAATATCGCCATCACCATCGTCGTCGTTGACGTCGTCATCCTCATCGCCATCATCGTTGCCACCGTTACGATCAACATCACCATCCACATCGTCATGATCAGTAGCATCAGCACCAGTATCATCATCATCATCATCATCATCATCATCATCATCATCACCAGTATCAGCATCATCATCATCATGATCAGCATCGTCATCGTCATCGCCGTTATTGTCATAAACGTTATGCTCAGGGTTCGCGTCATCTTCCTCACCCTTGTCGCCGTCGCCGCCATGACCGGCATCATCAGCAGCACCAGCGTCAGACCATAATCATTGTCATTGCCATCGTTGCCATCGTCCTCAACATCATCATCCTCACTATCATCGTCGCCATCGTCAGCATCGCCATCGTCGTCGTCGTCCTCCTCCTCCTCCTGTCCGTCGTCATCATCAGCATCAGTATCAGTACCGTCAGTATCGCCACAATTGGCACCAGCATCAGCACCATTGCCATCGTCCTCGTCATCGTTATCATCTTCCTCATCACCCACCTCATCTTCTTCATCATCGTCGTCATTGTCATCATCGCCCGCATAAGCGTTATCGTCATCGTCGTCCCCACACTTGTCATCCCCATCCTCCTACTCATCGTCGTCATGCTCGTCATCGACATCGCTGTTATTGCCAGGAAAAACACAAACAATGTAACATCATGATCATCATCATGCTCCCTGTCCGCGTCACCGTCGTCCTCCTTACAACCATCATTCTCATCATCATCATCACCACCATCATCATCAGAAGCATCAGCATTACCATCATCATTGTTGTTATAAGCCCCACCACGCTCATCATCCTTATCGCTGTCATCGACATCATCCGAATCACCATCACAATCCCCATCGTGGTCGACACGCCGACATCACCATCATCAGCATCATCATCAGCGACAGGAAGTAGGATAGTCCGAGGAGACAGGGAGTAATCTAGTCAAGAAAGAGGAGAGGGTGAGATCCTAAGGAAACTAGACACGTGAGCACCTGCAAGGAAACCCGAAACTCCGCAGCTTCGGGTTTCACTCTCCAGATTCTCGGGTTCTTCGGGACACCCCTCGTTCTCCTTCCCCCTCCCCCCCAGTCTGCCCCCCAGGGGTCGGCCTAAACGGTGTTTCGGCGATTTCGTGGGCCGCT